TTTTTTTTTTTTTTTTTTTATTTTTGAGCCATGTGCGACTGTTACGGGAGATGAGAAGTGGCACCGTTGTCGTACGGAAAGACGAGGTTCAACTTTGCCGATGGGACAGACAGTCTCGTCTAGTCCTAAAAATTTCAGCCTCCCAGGTTTTCCAGTTCTCGAATTAGCGGTTTCCCCGCCAGGAATTTTTTTGTAGCCATACGCGGAGCCCAAAAGTGCACTTCTTCAGTTGCATTGGTGTAAAATCCGTACTGACTTATGCCGAGAAACAGACCCGCCTTTAACTTACTTGTAAAGCAATTCTCGAAAAAGAGGTCCATTAAAAAATTTGCCAAAAAGCGGTTGCTGTTGAAATTTGCGACCACTCGAACTATTTCCTGAGTATCTTTGTCTTAAAACGAGCAATTCTGGAGGAGGTTTTGTCTTTTGACTTCATTTACACCGTTAGACGAAGTCGAGGCAGTGCATTTAATTCAGAGGAAGTTGTCATTGTGCCTGAAACTTCTGTTCTGAAAGGAATGATATTAATTTGCAAAAACGTACTGCTTTGTCTTTTTTTTAGAGTTTTAGCGTAAAATTTACTGCTTTAGGTATATTTCCGGCTCACATATATGGGAATCAAGAAGATGCACATGAATTTTGGACGCTTCTGCTCGCAGCACTTGATTCTGCTGCTTCAAACGGGATGAAAAACAGCGGATATAATGGGTCCCCGAAAAAGAACGGGTAAGCAAACTTCATGGTAGACGGAGCTGATTTTCAAAATTTGTGAATACTTGATACTTTGATCATTTGCTAATTCACTGCAGTACTAAAATGATATTGTGACAGCCTTTCCATAGTGTAAGGGCCAAGCTTTTGCCTCCCCATCCCCCAGTCGGAATTCTAAAACACAAAAATAAAACAAAAAGCTCAGTTATTTTTCGATTACATTCCAGCTGAACGTCGGGAAGCGACATCCCCATCAGAGATTGGATCTCCGACAAGGACCCAGCTCTCCGTTCTCAGTCCACCTCAACTTTCCCATGGTAGATTGAATTTATGGCGGTGTAATCAATCCATCCCAAGTTTTCCCATGGCATCCATTCTGGAATCCTGAATCAAGACCGTTTCGGTATGGGATCTGTTACCAGTACATAAGACAGGCGATCCGACGATTCGGGGTCCACGTATACCATTCGTCTACGTCTACCGTGCCTTTCATCAGTCGATCTGTTCATATCAGTACGGTCACTTGTCGATTACCCATTCTGTGCACTGTCAGAGTCTCACGTGACAAACTGTCTTTTGTCTCTAGTTCAGCCCAGCACCTTAATTGGTTCCTTCGATCCATCGACACTTTCATACGCAGTACCAAAATTAATACACATTTTAACTATAATTTTTGTGATTGAAATTGAGCCATCTAGTAGGCACGGTTTTTTGGTGGTTGGGGGCAACAGTAGTTTCATCTCCTTTATTGATCTGATCCATGTACAAGAGACGAAGGTTCTCGAGGCGAAACATGATAGTTGCGGTTAAAAAAAGCCTTTATCGCGTCCGAATTTTTCCTTAATTTCATTTCCAGTAGCGGATATTTCACATTTTTCTGTAGTTCTGCGAAATTTCTAGTTTTCTTTGCAGGGAGCCACGACTAACAACGCGATTGGAGCAAATGTTCTATGGCAAACTGCGTCATGAAAATCGGTGTCAAAGCTGCGCCGGTTTTTCAGTTAGCCACGAACAGTTGCAGGAATTGAACCTCGCTGTACAGATCGACAATCATCAAGGATCAATTGGTCTTGATGATTTATTAAGGGCACATTTTGGCAACGAAGTGGTGAATCTCGACTGCGCAGTGTAATTTTTACTACTAGTTTTGTTTTTATAGGACTTTGTTTGAGAACTGTAAACCTTGTCGCCGATTTTCATAAAAATATTCGTTTGCTGGAAAATTAAAATTTTTGGATTTTACTGAAATACCGCCTCGGTAAAATGTCTGTTTTTGGCATGTGTTGTAACTCTTGAAACATTGTAAATTAGTAACCTATTTTTCTTTTAAACGTTGCTTCTATGTAGGACTTTTTTTTAACTCATTGTTCACTTGTAGGGAGCGAAATGTGGGGAAGAATGTAATTTCCGTTTGAACTTGACATGTGGCAAAAGGCAGGCAGTTTTACGGGGCTACGAAATTGTGGAGTAAGAAGATTGGAATTAGGTGTCATGTATAAGAAGACATTTCACGATGCAGTCCGTGTTTCATTCCTTAGCTGTATACACACACACACCGAACAATGCATGCAGATAGGAGTGGGAATCATCAGTACAGCCTACTACCCGCCATGTATTGAAAGGACAAGTAACTAATTTGCAAGCAGGTGTTTATATGATTTGTGGAATTCACTTTGTTGAATGTTCCATTTCAGTTTGCTACTTATCAGGCAAATTGGTTTTAGGTGTAAACAGGGAACGCGGTGTCTCCGGAGTACGACCATTTGTCGGCCTCCATTCGTGCTGATGATCCAGCTGAAAAGATTTACTCAGGGCAATAAAAAGAATTCGACGCCCATCAGTTTCCAGGTATAATTCTAGACAGTTTTTCGGCCAACTGCTATTTAATTGTTCCACTTATCCACCAGTCTTCAGCTGAAATTCCTCCATTTTTCGTTTCTTTTTGGTCTTTTCCCCGTCCATGTGCGAATTGAAGCTTTCACAAAAAATGCATCTTTCACGTGCGCTTACGTTTCTTCACATGCCGGCACACGAGACTTTTAACAGGAAATCTCGCAGCTTAGGAACCAGTAGTAAATCGACCGTTTTTATACAGACCTAAGTGTAGTAAAACAGTGAAAATTTTTAACAGGAAAAGCCCAGTGGGCAGAGTTGCACAAAACCCATGATCGCACCGGCTACCCTGCTGCGCATCGCTATTTTTTAAAAATTCGAGATGGTATTTTGCAGACAACGCTTTGTCTGGATCCATACATTCATGCACCGCAAACATCTCATATTTATGAACTTTATGGTATTGTTGAGCATCAGGGAGAAACAACGCATCTTGGCCATTACATTGCTATTGTACGAGGTTTTGATGGCAAATCATGGTATTTTTATAGCGATCACGAAGTTAGTTTACTCTTAATTTGTTTAAAAAAAGTCGACTTATCCTTACAGGTCTTAAAGGTCCTTTGCTACGTTCGTTCTTTAATTTAACGTTTCCCTTTCTTTCCTTTCGTCTTTCTCTTTTCTCTTCCGTTAAGCACTGCCACCGTTATACTGACACGGTCTTGCGGTGCGGTGTTCAGTTGAGGCGTATATGACTTGTTGGACCGAAACGTCTTATCTCACTCTTGCCTTCTTTCCTCATGTTGTTCTCTCTTTCTGTATTCTATCGTTCCTTCGCCACTTTGGCTTCCAAGGCCAACCTGATTGCTACAACAAAGGCTTAACAGTTTCCTAGAAATTCTGGTCATAGCATAGTTATATTTAAGCGAAGAAGATGATCGGGCGAACTGTAGCAGTAGTATACGATACCACTTGTGACCGATTGTAATTTATAGTCTCGTCCTCACACTATGCACTTGGCGATTTCTTCGATTTCTTGACCAATCCTGCACCACCGCAGTTAGCCTGCTGGCATTCCTGATATCCGTTTTTGTTGCTGAAAGATTTTCCGACAGAAGCCTGAAGCAAAGAATTACACGTTTCGGGCCATGCTCAGAAAATTTAAGCGCCCCATCTACTCTGTTTGCGGAGTTACGTCAAACTTCACGTGTGCGCACATGAGACGTACTTGAGGCATGGAAGGGACACATCCACCTAGTCAAAAGCCGCTATCGGTTATGCTCAGGAAGTTTCAGTTTCGGGATATCTTGGTTCCGAATATTGTCACTTCCAGGACAATACGAAGCTGGGAAGTTCCTACTGGATTATAATGACTAATATTGACTTCAAATATATCGTTGAGCAAAACGAACCGAGTACGCTCGACCTCGACGATTGGGAATCTCCGTTGTTTAGAGAGAAGGAGCAGGAATATGAAATACTCCAAAATGTGTTTTACTCCGTGCTGTGGAGAAAATGCGGACTGAAACTACGGAAAATCTCGGGAACTGGGATCATCAACGGGAGGCGGTGAGAAAAAGCAGAACTGGAAGAAATGCCGGAGAGAATTGTGGCTTGTGCCATTCCAAAATCTCAGCATTAAATAGCGGGAAAATAACTTATTTTGCTTATTTCGATGTATAATTTTGGTATTTTCTGTTATTTTGATGCATGATGAATCTCAGTTTCGTAGCTGTCCGTATTTCATTTTCGAATTATATTG